CACAACACCCCTGGCAAGGAAGGCAGGCTGAGAGGAGCAACTGGCCCGAGACGGCATCAGTTGCCTCTCCGAGTGGGCACTAGAGACCGGCTTCCCACACCTCCACACAACCCAACCCACTCACCCTGTGGAGACATTACGGTATTTTTCTATGTGTTCCTATTTCACTACAAGATATCGGGGAAGTGCTGAACTCCTGCCCATCATTAACTCCCCAAGTCCCCTTTAGTGCATAATCAAATTTGAGCTTTTTCAGCTTTGAACTCCTGAGATTTTGGAAGCTCATTGGATTTTATAAGATGTGGAAGTACTGTATTGTGTTTGTATTTTAGTGAGGACCAATTCCATCACACGGGGGAGGATGAAGGTCAGAATGCTTCAGGAGGCAGGAAAAGGAAGCAGTTTAGATGAATTGGGCACGGGATTGGGGAAAAATGGGCCAATATGGGGGGATTTGCTCCTGCTCATGTATCCCTCCCAAACAAGGACCGGCAGGACATGCTGGAGGTTTGGGTGGAAGTCCAGCCCAATGTCACTGCACCACAGCAATCTGTGGGCTGACAACAGGATGAGGATTGCGCCACACAAGTGGAGGGAGCTGCCGCTCTCCCTCCAGCCCTACTTGCTAACTAGCAATGAGTCAAAGGTACTGAAGATTGGCCATGCTCCCAGCCCATATCCCTGACTCCTGCGAACCGTGGGACATCCCAAAATAACACCCCCCACCACTACTGCCATGGACAAGCCCAGGACACATACTAGTGCTAAAACATGAGGACTAGACCCACACCTGGCATGGCAGAACGGCACAACTGAAGACGCCCTGTCAGAGAAAGCACTGATTGGAATGCACAGAGGATGCTTTTTGGAAGGACAAATGGCAGCAGATACACACAGTCGGTTGCTTTCTGGAATCCCGTACAATTACAAACCAGGCAGTTAATATATGCATGAAGTCTTTGGAAAAGCCCACCCAGTGTGGAAGTTGAGGCGTGAGACTCATTTCACTGACTCAAGATACATTTCTAAAGAGAGATCCGGAGGAGAGGGAGACGAAGAAGGGTCCTTGATACCTCCATACTGAGGCTGGGAAATAAGTCTGCTACCACTTTCCTCAACCAGAGCTTGTGACGGCCAAGCAGGGGTGCATGTGAATGAGCTTCCGTTTGCAAACCCAGATCTAGATTCCAGCCATAGTGATAGGGAGGACAAGATGCCAGGGGTTCACAGGATGGTCATCCAGGAAGGGGAATTGGGTTCCTGTAGGTGCAGCCTGCCTCAGCCACTGGCATTGGGCATGCAGACCATGGACAGGCCAAATTCCTGATCTGGGTGAGAAATAGAGTAGCCTTTTTCCCGGCCGGCTGGTGCCTCTGTCTTATTTTCCATTATTCTCCCCCATTTGCATACGGTACTGCAAAATGAACACATCCCATTGAACAAGTTTCTCCATGTCACTCTTGTGAGTTCTGCTACACCATGTCCAGCTGCTGGAGCAGGAGCCGGGAGTGACTCATCCCTGGTAAAAGATGTTTTTGTACGTCTTCAGAGGAGATTTCCTTACTGTGATCTTGCACAGTAATACAGGCCGGAATCCTCAGGCTTCAGGTCACGCACTTGCAGGAACACCTGGCTTTTGGAAGTGTCCCTCGAGATGGAGAGCCGGTTTCTCAGACCACTCTTGTAGTATATGTCACCATTGTACCGAATATGTGCAACCCACTCCAGTCCCTTTCTGGGGGGCTGATGGACCCATTCCATGTCAGCGCCCATGACCGAAACCCCAGACACAGCACAGGTCAGCTGAAGGGTCTCCCCCAGCCTCGTCACACCACCTCCAGACTCTGTGAGGGTAATCTGGGAAGAAACACCTACAATCATGGAAAAAGGACACAAAGACACAAAGATGAGAAAGTGCAGAGGCAACAGATGGAGTGTCCTCATCCAGGCACAACATGTGGCTGTTATCATAATCAGTAGTGCTGCTATACTTACATGGAGGGAAGAGCATCAGAAGACTTATCAGGAGCTTCAATGGCATGACCTGATCCAACTGAGAGAGCCTCCCAAACCCTCGAAGAATCTGGATCCATCAAGGACATGGAATTCTGTTCCTTCCACTGGTCTCTTCTGCTTAATGAGCGTACCTCCCGAAGGTCATTTGCATAATGCCGGCAGGGCTGCTGGTATAAGAAAGGAGTGGAGGCTCAAACTCCAGCTTACATACTCTGCAGAAAATGCCTAATTGCAGTATTGTGTGTTCCTGAAGATGTTTGTTTTCCTCAAGGAGATGGGGATATACAGAGGAATGCCCAGTCTCTGTGGGTGACATTGCAATGTTGCTTCTCCAAAACCTAGCAATGATGCTGCAACTGT